TCAGGGTGCTTAAACCCTGGCGCACAGTTTCTCAACGCCACATACCCCTGGGGGGGCAGGACAGGAAGAAAGGAGGGGGTTGAGGGGGACTTTGGGTTGCTTACCAGGAATTATTGATGAAATGGGGGGTTTTTTTCCCACCACCCGGACGGGAAGGAGGGCAGGAACCATGGGGTAAAAGGAGGAGGGGGAGACAGAAGGACCCAGGACCACCGTGGCATATCTTTTGGAGATGGAGGCGGGGAAGCCCCTCGCATTCCCTTGGCACAAAGGGCCCCAAAGCTTTCTGGGTTTGCTTGCATAGGACAACCAAAAAATAACCAAAAAACCGAGGGATGATTTTTTGGTTTCCCAAACCTTTTTGGGCCCCCCGGCAAACCGTTCAAAAATGGGGGGCCTTTTTTACACCTGTTTAGGGGGAAAGGGCCAAAAAAAGAAAAAAAAAAACCCCCAAATTTAGCATTTGGTCTCTGCCTTTTTTCGCCAACGTCCACCCCCTCGGGGACACTGGGGGGCCCCTTTTTGGCGCCCCGGCAGTTTTCCCCCTCCCCCATGGCAGAAAGGGGGAGGGGGGGAAAGTGGTAGAGCATGGCACTCCACCAGAAAACGGCTGCCTCAGCCCTGCGCATGATTGTTTATGTGGTATAGCCTTATGGGCCCCGCTGTTTTAAACCAATTTTTAAATAATTTCCCCATGCAGTAAAAAATACCCCCTATCGTGCCATTTTAAAAAAAACCCGGGGGGAACCATTTTCCCTGAAAGCCCCCATCACCACACTGTGCCACGGGCCCCTGAAACCCCCCCCCCTCATCTGGGGCCCAATCCATCCCCCTGCCCCCATGTCGCCCTTTTGCGTCCCCCCCTAAACCCCCCCGCTGGGCGGGGTTCCATTTTTAAACCTGGGGGCCTGTGTATGGTTTTTTCCCGAATACTGTTTCCCCCCCAACCCCCCCCCCGCGCCATGTGCCCCTGCCTCCCCAAAACCCTGCTGACGGTTTTCCGTTTTTTTAACCTGGGGCCTGTGTATGGTTTCCAATACTGCTCCTTTTCCCCAAACCCGCCACCCCCCTGCGCCATGGTGCCTCTGTGGGTCTGCTCACGCTCCCGAGGGTTTCCCCCGCTTTTTAAACTAGTCCCCCTGGTATGTTTTTTCCGAATCCCTGCTGCCTCCACCGCCCCCAAACCCCTGCCCATGTGCCATTTTCGGGTCTCCTCACACTGCTCCCCAGGTCCAACGGGTTTCCCATGGCCCCCTTCCCCCCGGCTCCTCATGAACTGGTTCAGGGGTTTTTTGGCATCCCCTTAAAACGGAAAATCGTTGACAAATGCGGGACGTTCAGTGTTTGCGCATTAAGCCAAAACCCCAAAAGGGGAAAGCACGGGACCTGTTATTCCTCCCCTAAAAGCATGGCTGAACAAAACCACCCTCTCCCAAACAAATTGGCCCCCCGCCCCTCCCAGGGCCCTCAACTAGATTGCAGGGAGGAGTAAGCCCCTTACCCCGGAATTAAATAAAAAAAACCCCCAAAACCAAAAAGAGTGGCCATTTCCAACATTTAAATTCCAAAAAAGGAAGGAACAACCCCCCCCTTTTCATATAGGGCCCCGTAGAGGTTCACGCCCTGCCACATTCGGGGTCGGATTTAAACGCAAGCTCCATTTCCCTGGGTCCCCTGACCGCCCGATAAA